TGAGGGCTATTCTAATTAATGCCTTATAAATAGGAATCAAAACGAATACCTTCAGAACAGTGAAATGGAAGAAATAACCAACACGAAAGCATGGTTGACCTTCTTGCTCTTCTTTCTGATATGAAACACCCAAGGGGCCTTGTTTACTGTCTGAAGTAGAAAGTACCTAGGTACTTCTCTGCTGCCCAGATTGTGTGAGAGCTGTTCGCCCAACCCTAGACACAGCCCAGCTTTTGTGCATCCTTTCTGGCACCATCTGGCACATACACATAACACCTCTCTCTCTTTTTTTTTTTTTTTTTTTAAGATTTTATTTATTTGAGAGAGAGAGAGAGTGAGTGAGACAGAGCATGAGTAGGGGGAGAGGCAGATAAGAGAGGGAGAAGCAGACTCCCTGCTGAACAGGGAGCCCGATGGGGCTCGATCATAAAACCCTAAGATCATAACCTGGGCTGAAGGCAAACTCTTAACTAACTGAGCCACCCAGGTGGCCCAGGCTTCTCCTACTTTTTGATCCCACTCAGGAAGCAGAGAGGGAAGCTAGGTTTAGTGGGGGCTGGTCCAGAACTTGCTTTCAACAGAGAGGAAGTATTCATACAAGTTGCTAGGGTCAATCTGTCTTTATAGAACTATTTTATATGGACATAATGGGAATTTAGAGAAAGGGTGGAAGGATGCCTCTGCTACTTATGGGATATGACATGATGCTTGTAGCTAGAAAGAGACTGACAGACTGGATTATAATTTTCAGGGGTGAGTTGGTTTAAGAATGTCAAAGAAAGAACAAGTGTATGCCATACTTCTATTGAGTGGGCCAGGAGTCTGACTTATTCATATCAGAGGAAAAATAACCTGCCTTGTTACTTCTTGAAATCAGAATAATCCTTAGGAGTGGTGTGAAAGGCGAATGGGAAATGCTAATGCTCAGTAGAACCTTTCAGGGTTGCCACAATAAAGACAAAATCTCTCTGCACAGTAAAGATTCAAAGGAAGAAAGGCCTCTGAGGAGAGGCTGAGCTGGGTTGATGTTGTCCTTAACTATCTCAGGTACAAAACTGGGGAATGACTTAAGAATATCTTTATCCTTCAGTTTCACTGACTCAGGAGTTTATGTCCTTGAACTTCTGAGTTTGCTCTAAGCTCACATCTGGCTACTTGCCATGGACAAGCCATCCAGCTTGCACCTTGGTTTCTCTACCCAAAAAGGCCAGAAGAAAATCTCTGCTCAGACACTTCTTTAAAAACTCACAATCTTACCAACGTGCACAGTTGTATTATTAGCATCACAGCTGATTCAAGGGACCAAAGAGACGTCTGCAGAGAGCAAGATCCACTTTAAAAACTGACAAGACAGCAGGGAAGAGGTAAACAGTGTCGAGAGAGAAGAAAGTCAGATGAGGGTTCTACATTGAGCATGCCTTTACAATGCGTATCTGGCAGCTGGAAAGATGGCCAGGGCTTTCTCATCCATGGAAGAGTGAAGCTGAGATCGATGTGCATCCGGGTGGATGGTCTTTGGCTACAAGTGCAAGAAGAAGAAGGATCTGATATGAAGGGTATTACAGCTTATGTTGGTTATGTCTCATTAGATTACAGGCCAAGGGCGTCATCTGGTTTCTACTTTGCCTTCATGGTTCATTCTCTTTGAAGAGAGGTTCTGGGCAGCCAGCAAGATACCATGGTTTTTTTTTTTGGTTTTTTTTTTTTTTAAATTTTTATTTATTTATGATAGTCACACACACACAGAGAGAGAGAGAGGCAGAGACACAGGCAGAGGGAGAAGCAGGCTCCATGCACCAGGAGCCCGATGTGGGATTTGATCCCGGGTCTCCAGGATCGGGCCCTGGGCCAAAGGCAGGCGCCAAACTGCTGCGCCACCCAGGGATCCCGATACCATGGTTTTGATGGCACAGACCCCCTGATTGAGATGTATGATCCCAGGAGCCAAATATATCTTCATATATTCCTTTACTCCACAGAGTATTATTAAGAACCCACTGCAGGTGGGGCTTTTCTAGATGCTTCTGAGAACAATAATAGGAAGAATTTACTATGTGCCAGCATCCTTCTAAGGGCTTCATGTATATTAGTTTATATGAGTCTCACCATAACCTATGAGGATTGGGCCTGTTCTCATCTGCGTTTTTTATTAGGGTACCAAGAGGTTAGATATCTGGCTCAAGATCACAGTCAGTAGCCTGAGTTAGGATGTTAACACAGGGGGGCAGGCCCCAGAGTCCATGCTCTGGCCAGTCAGGCACTGGTGACCATGACAGGGGAGAGTCCTGTCCTCATGGAAGAGGAAAAAACAGACAAGGCAGTGAGTAATGTTATTTTTGGGACTGATAAATGCTGTAAAGAAAACCAAAGCAGGGTAGGAGATAGAGGGACAGAGGGAAGGCTATTTAGATTGTGTGGTCAGGATAGCCCTCTGTGAGAAGGTGAAATTGGAATAAAAGTCTGAGAGAAAAAGGGAATTGAGCGACAGGAAGGTCTGAGGAGAGATATTACAGGCAGAGGGTACAAAGCCTCCACCATGGGAACAAGCGGGGGGTGTAACAACAGCATCAGGAAGGCACCTGAGAGTGTGAGGGAGACATGAGCAATAGAGAGCCTTTGAGGACTTCTTAAGGACTTGAGATTTTATTGCCATGGTGCTATGAAGCCTCTGGAGAGTTCTGAGCAGGGGTATAACCTGCTCTGATTTTCCTTTCCTTTTAGAAAAAGATGACTCTGGCATATGTGGAGAATAGATCATTCACGTGAGGGACTTCAGATAGGCACATTAGGAGGCTTATGATAGCAGCCGGCGTGAAGAAAATCAGACATTGCTTTACTTCAGGCCTTTAGGCCAAGGTCAAATCATACCAGCACAGGGCAAGGCAGTGCGAGGAGCCCCTAATGTCTCAGAAGCCAACTAGGGTAAGCGGTACACCCGGATTTGGGAAGAGTCCTGACAAGAAAGGGAAATGAATGGGAACTTCCCAGTTGTTGACCTGTAATTGGCTAATGAGTTCTCTGATGGAACGGGAACCTTTCATTTATCGGAACCTTTCTGAGCAGAGTCTTCAGGGCTAAAATCATCTGCTGCTCCCCTGGTGAAGGGAAGCACTGGACCTGAAAGTAGGTGCACTTGCCAGGCTGTCCTGGGGAGGGAGCCCCGGCCCCCACTGGTCCACAGGTTGCAGTGTTGGGAGTCAGTTTTTTTTTTTTTAAAGGTTTTATTTATTTATTCATGAGAGACAGACAGAGACACACACACACACACACACAGAGAGAGAGAGAGAGAGAGAGGCAGAGACACAGGCAGAGGGAGAAGCAGGCTCCATGCAGGGAGCCTGACGTGGGACCTGATCCCAGGACTCCAGGATCACGACCTGGGCCAAAGGCAGGCTGGGCCTCCCCATGGGAGTCAGTTTTGAATGTGGATTCACTGCGGATGTCTGATGAGAGCCAGTCTAGTCTTTTTGTTCTTGAAAGGGTGGTTTTAGCATCTCAAACTGGGAGGTGACATAGACCATTACGTAACAGAAGGAATGGTGGCACAGTGTACCTACAGGCACCTTTTCAAGGCAGTTTCTACTCTGTGCAACTTTATGCTAAAGGATAAAGCCAGTCTGCTTGGGAGATGCTTGCCAATGTCTACATAAGAAAGTGCCAAAGAATTGAATCTGAGTTTATGTGAAATAAGGACTTAAGCCTGCTTGTTTTTTTCCATGTTCCAGGGCTAAAGAATCCCATAAAATTCAACCATTGATGCCTGGGAAATGCCATTGTCCTAGAGTTTTTAAAATGACAACTGATTTACCTGCCACTATCAAAGTACATGCAAATATGGATGAATGTGGCAAAGTTATTCTGTTGGTAGATAAGTGTGGAACTAGAGGAGGGTTATCAGAATCTGAAAGGTTATTCTAGAAGGGATTGTTTCATGATATTGTCTTTTGAATTTGACATAAAGGGAAAACTACAGCATTTAATATTGTTTCTTTTTTTGAATTGTTTAGAGTCACGCATGAAGAAGGGTTAGGGATGTGTGTATATATACGTGCATATACATGTCATATATTGTGAGATGATATGTTGTCAGGTAAGTTGGTATCTCCTGACGATGCTGAATAAGCCTTTTCTAAAACACCAAGCAGAATTGAGGGAAATATAAGGGGTTTGCCTTTGGCACTTTACAGACAAATTTACTGCAAGCAAGAGACAAGTGGAAGCAGGACTGGAGCTTATGGTGTGATTGTTGTTAAAAGAAAAGAAAAATAGTGAAAAGGACGATTTTTTAGAGGGTGAGAAAACCAAATGAAAGCGGGCCTTTGACTCTAATTAAAACTTTGCAGAAGGAGGGATGTATCACACTACCCAAGAGACCATGCTGCCGCAGATGCTCCAGTCCACCTCACGAGGAAGAGAAAAGCAAGCACAAATCAAGGTGATCCCTAGCACTTGTACGAGACAAAGACAAAAACACCTTCCAGGGTCTGTTATGGGGTCAGGAGCTGAGCAGTGCTTTACACCACCTGCACCTGCAGATACACCTTCCATGTGGCACCAAAATTCAGGTTCCTCACCAATGATAGGGTCTTCAAGAAAAAGGCAATATCACCTTGAATTCTGACGTTAAAATACCAGGAAAAGTAGAATATATTTATGGTCCCTGACATATGTCAATGCATAAATATGTAAATATATCTTACAAAGGGATAACATTTTTAAGTTTCTCATCCTTAAAGATCAATCTTTAGTAAATTCTGAGAATGCAGCTTCCCATTAGGATGCCTTCCCTGAATTTCTGGAAAGCTGGTATTTTCCTTTATGTTCTCCTTGAGTTTAGTAATATAATAGGTCATCTTTCTGTGTCTATATGAGTAAAAGGAACAGTTTCATGACTCTGCAGTATAAATCATAAACACCAAAAGCAGTGATGTTCAATTAAGGGGGATATGTCAAAGTTTACAGCTCTTAATGAAAGACAGTACATCATCGAGCCATCTTACCTGTCGACGAATTATTCCAAGGTCTCTTTTGGCTTTATTCACTAGGGCCTGAATTTCTGCAGGATCCTTTACATTCTTATTTTCTCTGAAGGCATCTCTTATTCTCCTGACAGCATAAGTTCTAAATGAATTCAGGAAAAAAAGAAAAAATGTCAGCAGTCTCAAACTATGCTTTTAAATGAAATCAAAAGCCTTTCCTTACAAATTAACTGTCTGTATTCCCCTGTGGATAATCCACTTAGATCTTTGCTCTTGGGACAGGCCCATCTATTACTATTCTGGGATGACTAAGCAAACAGATTAGGGAAATAAATCTAGCACAAACAAATCACATATAAATGGCAAACTGCTACTAAGATTACGGGTTCTTTAGTTACTCATGTCTGAGTTCTCTCCATCAACGTAGATAATTGAACCTTTAATGTACAGAGACAAATCAAGAATTAAAAGAGGTGAAATGATGCACCATATATTTATGCGCCCAGATAGTGATCTATGCCTGACTCGGGTCAGCTCTCCAATCTCGTCCCATCATTTAGCTGTTTATTCCTCTTGTGTAATATAACATATAAGGATTCATGTTGGGATCCTACCACAATCCAGAGCGGAGATTATACCAAAATGCTTTCTTGCATCTTTTTTTTTTTTTTCTCTTGATTCATTTGAGAAAGAGAGAGAGAGAAGGAGCCCGTACATGAGCACATGAGCGGGGGTGGGCAGCAGTAGAGAATCTTCAAGCAGACTCGCCATTGAACAGGGAGCTGGACAGGATCCCACAACCCATGAGACCATGACCTGGGCTGAACCCAAGAGTCAGATGCTTAACTGACTGAGCCACCCAGCCACCCCTGCTTTCCTTCATCTTTAAAGTGTATACATGTGCACGTACATGCACATAGAAACACCCTCTCCCCAGCAATATAAATTACATGCAGCACAGGGACAGCAGTTCAAGTGCATGGCTTTCAAATCAGACAAGCTTGGCTTTGTTCCAAGCTCCTACTGTTTGTGTGAACTTGGGCACGATTCTTAACATAAGCCCGTGTTTCCTCATCTGTCAAATGGGCATAATACCACCTACCTCTCAGGGCTGCTGGGAGGATTCACTTTTATAATGTATGACTGATATTTGGCACAGAACTGGCTGCAGAGGAAGATCCAATCAATGAAAGTTCTTCTTCTTAACACCTTACTGCCATTAGTCCTAGCCTCATCTTTATCCTGCATTCTCAGGGTCATACCACAGTGTCCAGACAGAGGGCAGAATGGTCTGGATAACCAAGAGTACTTAATGGGATACACCCCACATGCACACTCATGGCCTTACCCCATGACCTCCCCATCTATGCAAGACTGCAGGAGACTAAGGAGGAGTCCAAGCCAGTCACATCAGACATCATTTTCTCTAGTCTTCTTATGATCTCAGATGTCTCTGCTTTTTAACTTTAAACACCAGCTAAAGAATCCATGTGAAACTAATAATAACATTTGCACATAGGGGGAAAGAGATGAGAGAAGTGGAATATAATTTCTCTGGGAGTTGGGTGTACGTTTTGGGAGGTGGATATAATTTACTGGGAAAACCCGTTTTAGAGAAGACTACTTTTGTTTTCGATCAACTTTCCTAAAATTTTTAAATTAAAAATCCAAATGTTGGGTCCCTTTGTGTTTAGAAGCAAAAGTAAAATGAAATCTTGTGACATTAAGAATCGTGACGGAGCAAGTCAGACACTTTTTAGTGTCTGGGGAGACTTTCATCCGAACCCTTGGTGCACCAAGTAGAGTATTTGCAGAGGCGCTCCTTGGTGCTCAGGGTCAATCTTGGGGCAGCCATGACTGGAAATGGAATCCCTAAACTAGCAGACATTATGTAATGACAGGGGCTCCTTCATTATGAAGACTTGGAAAGAATTTTTACTAATAGACTATATCAGCTATTCCCCTCTTGTATAGCTGCTAATCTAACAAGGTTTCATATAACAGCTAGGAAAGCTAAAAGCAATTTCTGAGGTACTCTCTTGCATAGCATGATGGTTATTAACATAGCACAACATCACTGCCCTTCCTCACACCCACACTCCTCAAAACAGCTTCTTTGTGGGTGATGATGGGAGCAGAGTGGACACTATAATTTAATTCTAATATCTTGTTTCACATGTACAACTGGTTTTAGAACCGGAATTTACCCCAGGGAGTCATGCGTTGTTTTAGTTCTTCACTCAGGATGTTACATGCGCTTTTCAGAAAAATAGAATGGTCAATAGTAGCCGTTACTACCTTCATTTGGCTAAAAGTGGTAACTAGCCCAGAATAGCTAGCAAAAAGAGGAATATGGCTCTGAACACAAAGTCTGATGTTCTTCTAAAGTTTAAGAAATCAGAAAATAACTTACGGTGCCCAATGATTTCTATCAACTGAGCTCAAGGTCCAGCAATTTACATAGTCGGCTGGTATTCTCATTGTCTCCCCACATCTCCAAAGTCCACACCTAAAGGAATGAAGCTCTAGATGTTTGAATTAAATGTGTCTAAAGCTATCAAAAGTTGTCGTTCCAAATTTGAGTGCACCTAACATGAACGATGTGACGGTGGCTGTCTTTTCTTTCTTATTCCTCCTCCTCCACTGTCCAAAACACAAGGTATTGTCCTTTGCCCCAAGAGAGGTCATGGCATTGGCTCAGAACCATATAAACAATTACTGTTGTATGAACAGTTTTTCAGTTGTGTGAATTATTTTTTTACTAAAAGATGTTTAATTTTTTTTGGAGGGGAAGGAGGAGAGGGAGCAGGAAAGAGAACCTTCAGAGAGAATCTTCAGCAGGCTTCATGCCCAGTGCAGAGCCTGTCGTGGGCTCAATCTCTCCACCCTGAGATCATGACCTGAGCTGAAATCAAGAGCTGGATGCTTAATTGACTGAGCCACCCAGGTGCCCCAGTTATATGAATTATTTCAAATGGTTTTAACTTTGTGAGGGTAATCACAAATCTGCCTGAACCTTCAAACTTTGTAGGAAAGGGCTAACTACCAATTATTTCAGTTCTGCCCCCGCCTGGTTTTTATCCTTTGCGTTTTTTCTGCCACTACTAAGGTAAACCATTTATTCTTGAACACATTCTGGCTATTGGCCTCCTGACCCTATCACTGAGCAAAAGCATTTCAAAGAAAAATGTGCAGCTGCTGTACAATGTCTTGCCTTAGGATGCTCCTGATATGAGTCTGATGCTGTTTGGAATAAGTCATGAAAAATTAGCACATAAAAGCCAACACTGGGGATCCCTGGGTTGCTCAGTGGTTTGGCGCCTGCCTTTGGCCCAGGGCCTGATCCTAGAGACCTGGGATAGAGTTCCGCATTGGGCTCCCTGTATGGAGCCTGCTTCTCCCTCTGCCTGTGTCTTGGCCTCTCTCTCTCTCTGTGTCTCTCATGAATAAATAAATAAAATCTAAAAAAAAAAAAAAAAAAAAAAGCCAACACAACTGCAAGAGCTATCAACTCCGAGAAAGCAGGCCACATCCACAGAAACAGTTAAGGCTATGCTGCTCAGTCACCTCTCACTCTACCCTCCCGAAGCTTTGTGGACCCTCTGTGCTTCTTTGTGTAGATTTCCATTTGGCTTTTCTTCTCCACCACAACCTTTGCCCTTTGGTCTGCCACGAGACCTTCAAGTGCACACCGGCTCTACTGACTATCCTTTCACCATGCAAGGATCAAACCCCTTTATGAGAGTCTTCTAGCCATCGTAATTTCCCAGCTGCAAAGTAAACAGCAGACAGTAATGAAGGCTCTGTAGTGCCCGAGGTCTTGCTTTACTTTCTCCCCTTCCAATGCAGACCATGATAATCATAGCATTTGCAGGCTCATGTTGGTTGTAGCACCCGAAAGGTGCAATTGGGAGACAAGCTGATATAATTTGTGTCATCCTTCATCACCATCCCACCCCACATGCTGGTTTCTCTGCTTTTCCGTCCTGTGAAAATACTGGTGCTTCTTCCTTCTTCCTCTAAACCCAAGTCAAGTATCCCGGTAATAAAACAACTAGACACTTCTTTCAGCCTCTTGGGTAAACTCCTTCAGTTGCTTGGAAGGACATGTCCTCCATCAACATATCAACTCAAATGTGCTTTGCCCCCTGAAGACAGTGTTTGCTTTATAGCCATAAAGAGAAAGCTGCTTAATTTTGCTATGCCTCCAGATTCCAGGGCCAGTGTGTTCTGGGATCCCACTGCTACTTACGGGTCATTAGTTCATCCTTACACATCTTTGAGGTCAAGCTGCCTAATAAATCCATATTGAAGCCCCAATGACACTGTCATCTGCTGACTTCTTGATGTCAAGACTTAAGATTCATCGAGTCTTAATATCCAAATGGCACTCAGTGCATATGTAGGCTACCTGTCTTAGGTAACATGAAAAATTTTAATTTTTAATAAAAATAAGATCTTTTAAAGTCAGTAATTTTTATAATGAGATAGATGACAGTGTTTGCAATCTTTTACTGAGTTATCTACATTTGCTTTACTGATGGAGAGTTTCACAGTGAGAGGGTGTCTCGTCTTGTTTTCTAGATCTACTGGTATTTCTTCCTAGGCTACTTTGTGATGTTGCCTCTTCTATGTCGTAGTCTCTAGGGCTCCCTACTGGACCTGTTTTTTTTTTTTAAATAAAATCTCCTCCACTAATTGAATCTGTGCCCAAGGTTTTACTATCATATATATGCCATTGGCTACCAAGTCTTTCTCTAGCCCATGCTGGCTTTCTGAGTCCCAAATCCATATAACCCAACTGCCTTTTGGACTTGCTAACAAAAGACACTCACTATACTCACTACAGCTTCTTTTATTGAACACTTTGAGACTGAAGTCATCATCCTATTTCCCCCTAGGCCCCAGAGGCCAGTATTTCCTTTGTAGGTAGGTGCATTTTCAAATGGCTAACTATCTAAATCAGATGTTTGGGGATTCATCCTAAATCCCCTCCTTTCCCATAGCTCTTTATATTCAATCAAGCACAGTATCTCATTCTTTCAACCTTTTACATCTCTTCTGAATCACCTTCCACGTCTCTAAGTCTCTAAACCTTCAGCCCTAGTCTTGGTTCATGCTCTGATCTCTCACACTAATACA